GTGTGTGTGTGTGTGTGTGTGTGTGTGTGTGTGTGTGTGTGTGTCAGTTACCTAAACATAGCCACACAGTTACAGGTGGGCCAGCCCATGACGAAGCTCCTCTCTGGGTTCGTGCTCCCCTCACACACTTCGTCCATGCAGCCTGCCGTCCACATCTCACACACACACACCTGAGCCTTCTGCTTGAAGTGATTGGCTGATCTGGGAATGCAGAGGAAGGCACCAAGATTCAAGATTCAACGCTTTTAATGTCATTTGTACAGCAGCTACAGCGTAGATATGACAATGAGAATCTTAGCTCCAACAGTGCAACACAATAAAACAGATATAATATAAATTGTGCAGAATAGTTTACATACAAGTAATTGGAATATTGATATATATTAAGTTAGAACCAGATGAATCTTATGGATGTTCTTTCTAAAGTTCAGTTCAGTTTCTTGCAACAAAAAAAACCTTGGCTGAGACATAATGATCATCTTTGTGTGATGAAGGGAATTTATGTGAAATGTCCGAGATGGAGATCCAGTAATTAAATTACATTTCATTTAGCTGTTGCTTTATCCAAAGTAACAGCATATATATCAACTACCCATTGAATCTCACTGTAATGAAGTTACTTAATTAATTGTACTATTAGTAAGTATTTGTATCAGCTGCATATGTAAAAGACAGGATATGTTGTTTTTCCCGCCCTGTTTCAGAGACAGCTTCCTGGTTCCTCGGCCAAACCAAAACCAAACTTAGAGGTAGGAATGAACCTCTGAGAAAATGCTCCCCAACTTCTTGGCTTTTCAAAAAAAGCTCCTTCCAATGCTCAGTGGCTCAGGGAAGTTATGTCTTTTCTAAAACTGGAGAAAATGTAATATTCTACTAGGTTTTACATTAAGTGGAAACCCTTCTTAACCTTCCTCCATTCTCTCTCATTTGTGTCTACTGAGTAATGGACACTACATTGTGGCTACATGGTCTGTTTTGGTTATAACTGTGGTTTTAATATTGTACGCCTTCAAGTGAAGATCATCTATGTATGGCTAGCTTTGAACTGTTCAATCTAACCTATCAATGTACCAAATGTATTTTCTATGTGTCTTCAATACAAAAAACCTTACTTGGCTTTGGCGATCACCAGCAAGTCGCTGAACAGGAAGAGGTGTCGCTCCTGAGTCTGCATCCCCGTCTTGAACTGAGCGTTTCCGTGGAGAAGAAACGACCTATCAGAGCCGGGGAGGAGGAGGGACTGGACCAATGAGCAGCTCTCGGGACAGACTGGAACCAGGAAGCTGTCTCTGAAACAGGGCGGAAAAACAAGAATTCAAGTTTCAAGGCTTTTATGGTCATGTGTATGTACACATGACCATAAAAGCCTTGAAACTTGAATTTTTGATACAGCTACAGTGTAGTTATGACAATGACAATCTTAGGCCCTTCCAACAGTGCAACACAATGAAACAGATAATAGAGCAAGTAATACAATCAAATAGAATAGAAGTAGTGCAAGGAGAGTCTATATACAAGTAATTGGAATATTTAAGCAATAGCTCACGACAGGCCGTGGTATATGCTCATTATATCACAGCTAAGGGGCGTGGTTCGGCCCGACGCGAAGCGGAGGGTCGACAACCCCCTTAGCTGCAGGCAGTTTGCTTTTCAGCCCAACTGTATACAGTTTTTCTCAGACGCGGAGGGATACTGACTTGTTGTGAAAAGTAACTTACAATTCTACCCGTGGTATATGCTCAGTATATCACGGCTAAGAACCAATCAGATTGCTTGATTTGACTTGTCTGTCTTATAATGATATATATATATATAAGTTGCAAACAGATGGATGTTCTATCAAAAGTTCAGTTGTTTAATAGTCTTATGGCCGGTGGGATGTTTTTATTTTACTCATCAAAATATCCTGTCTTTTACATATGCAGCTGATACATCCATCCATCTTCTCCCGCTTATCCGTGGTCGGGTCGCGGCTGATACAAATACTTACAAATAGTACAATTAATTAAGTAATGTAATGTAATTACTGGTTCTCCATCTCGGACATTTCACATAAATTCCCTTCATCACACAAAGATGATCATTATGTGTCAGCCAAGGTTTTTTTTGCATCAAAATAAAATATGTACAGCAGAAAATGAGGAAGAAGGAAGGTATACAAGGCTCATTAGTCATCACAATATACATTTATTTCATCATGTTAACATACTAGATTACACCTCAAAGCTCACAACATGCTAACGGGTTTAAAAGTCATATTTTAAAAATATTTATCATAGCCAGAAAAGTATAAATCAAACCTTCAATGTATTTGTTTACAGGAAACGTAACCAAATATAAGCTTACAATATTGATAATAAACCAAAATCACTTTATTCTACATGTTTCACTGAAATAATAACAACAAATAAACATCTTGCATTAAACACATCCTGTTAAAAACATTACATTCTGCAGTTTTCTGCTCATGAGACCAAAAATCAGAGGACAAAAGTGTTTTGATGAAGTGGAAATGCAAGAAAACCCTTTTGAAAAAACATCTGTGGAGATTTAGGACAGACCCTCTTTAACTCCAACCTCATTAATTCTATGCACACTTTGTTACAGGGCGACTGTGGCTGTGAGGGAGTGTGGTCGTCTTTCAACCAGAAGGTTGTGGGTTCGATCCCAGCCCATGCAGTCAACATGTCGATGTATCCTTGGGCAAGATACTTAACCCTGAGTTGCTCCCGATGGCATGGCCAACGGTGTGTGAATGTGTGTGAATGTTAGGTCCTAGAGTAAGGTACACTGCTCTGTATGAATGGGTGTGAATGGGTGAATGACATGTAGTATGTTAGGACCTAGAGTAAGGTCCACTGCTTGAATGTGTGTGAATGTTAGGTCCTAGAGTAAGGTACACTGCTCTGTATGAATGGGTGTGAATGACATGTAGTATGTAAAGTGCTTTGAGGGGTCTTAAAGACTGGATAAAGCGCTATATAAGTACAGTCCATTTACCATTTGTTCAATATCACAAGATGTTGATGCAACCCGAGCAACTCACAGTACCTTCAATGATATGTGACTTGCTGTAAATCATATCATTACATCATAGTATAACCCTGTACATGTGCCATATCAACATATGCCTTTGATTTCACATGTACGTGTTTCAATATTTCTCAAAATCAACTGCGAAACCATCTTGCAAACAAATCCTCAATTATAAAACCTTTTGACAGTTTGGTATATTTGATATATTATCATACATCGGGTTACGGTTGATTTACTTGGTATGTTCTAAAAATACTAGTTGTAGAGAGGCACCAAAATAAATAAAAATATGTAAAACAAAAACCAAGAATCAATCAATGATATGTAACTTCCAGTCAGATACACTGGTAATGCATATTAGCTGCTAACTCAATGGTTAAAACTGTTCCCTGTTAAGCCCCAAGGACCCCCTCGGCGGGTCCTTTTTTTTTTTTTTTTCACGACACTGTGTCTCAGGGGATCTTAATATTTAAGAACCTATTAATGTGTTATACCAGATTAACGGGAATAATCTCAGCTAACTGACGATACAAACCATTTTTACCAAAACAAAACACAAGTCTCAGAAGAAGCATCTAAATGACCCCTGAGCGAAAAATGCTAACGCACTTTTGCATAGAACTCAAGATAAAAGTACCCTTATTACTTATCGTAGCTGCACATACAAGATATCCGATTAAAGCTGAGGTTCCACAGATTATTTAGGTATATAGTATCATCACTGAGTGATCCGAACTCGCGACAGGGGAAGCAAAGACAGACATCACAACACGTACCTTTACGTAGCTTTTACGGGAGATCCTCTTACCGTAGCTGTTAATCTGATCAAAAGACGTGTTCAATGGCATTAAAACGAGAAAAAACGCGGCTGAATCGGTTGATCCATAGGTTGATAATGTTTCTGGGTAATAATTTTTGTATTTATAATCCATAATTCAATTTTTATGTAAAAATCGCAGGGTAAAAGTTAGCTGCTAATGGTAGCCACCAGAGTTATCGCAGCTTCCGGTCTTGGCTATGCGGCAGTCTCACACACACACATGACCAAATAAAAAAATAAAAAAATAAAAGATTATTAATTTAACCCTTTTAGAAGGGAAGATATGGTCATTTGTTCTGGGAATGTCATTTTCGACCTGAAAAACAGGCTCGGGGTTTAACAGGTTTTAAATGTTTTGAGGTGTAGAGTGTTGGTTTATCAGAAGTCTAGAGCCTCATCCCAATACCCCTCCTCGACTCCTCTCTTCCCCTCCTCCGGGACTTGACCCGGAAATCGATCAAGACACGCCATTTTGAAGGACGTCCCAATAGCTGAAATGCAGACGGAGGAGTCGAGGAGGGGTGAGGGACGAGATGAAAGGGAGGAGATGAAAGGGAGGATACACGCGAGCAGACTACGCGGAAGTGTTTTCACTACTCGCGTATAAAAGCCCCGCCCCCACCTTCACAGCTGGGTCGATTTCAACAGAGGAAAACCCACTACTGGAAGATGAGTGGAAAAGCCTCACATAAATGTATAAGTGCTCACAGCTCCGTGGGAATTATTATGTGCAATTCATTTCTAAAAGGCTTCACATTACTATAATTATATTTTTATTTAAATGTAGGCTACATTTTACACCAAAACGGAACACAAAGGCAGGACCAACCATCATACATTGAATTCCTTGACTAACAAGAGAAAGATTCATTCATTTAAATAAATATTTAACCAGAAATGGTCCGGTTCTAAGGGGTTATTCAGTTCAGCCCGATGAGAGGGGATACAGCTGAGCACATGTCATCATTAACAGACGTTTGTTTAAGAGTGACGTTTGAGTGAACGAGGACATCCCAATGAATACCTGAGGACTCCTCTGTCCTCGCGTCACCTCCTCGTGTCTCTCGCTCGCATCTTA